TTATCATTATCATTATCATTATCATTATCATTATCATTATCATTATCATTATCATTATCATTATCATTATCATTATCATTATCATTATCATTATCATTATCATTATCATTATCATTATCATTATCATTATCATTATCATTATCATTATCATTATCATTATCATTATCATTATCATTATCATTATCATTATCATTATCATTATCATTATCATTATCATTATCATTATCATTATCATTATCATTATCATTATCATTATTATCATTATCAAGATTATCATTATTATTATTTAGAATTTTTCTCTTATTTACGTCTGTTTGTAACACTGGTGCGTTTATTCAATTGATCAAATTTTCATTTGGGAAAATAACTTTTATTTAAAGGAAAACAATGATTTGTATTTTCTGTTCTGTAATTGCAACTGTAACATACTCCACGGTCTAATCTCATTATAATAATCCTTCCTGTCAAAGTGGAATCGACTTCAGAAATAAGGATTCCTTAGTTGCCCAGCACTTATGAAGTTAAAACTATACTGTGATCTTGACTTCTGATTTGGGATCGTCTATAAATATATATAATAATATATATGTAGTACATTATTAATAGAAGTGTGTATTGCTGTATGGATAAATATAAATGTGTGTGCGTGTGTATGTTTGATCAAGCACTCTTCATTACTTATTATCATCTTATTAGCAACTCACATTGGGTATACATGGAATTCATTATCATAAATACATCAGGTGAAATTCACTTCTAAATCAGTCATTTAAAATTGGGTGTTTTATTGGATTTCAAAGGAAACGAGTAAAGACACTTGATTTTTTATTGCTTTCATATTTTGACATTACTTACAGATATTTACATATAATAAATATATACACAAAATCTATATAAAATACACTTCATTTGCTTCATAAAGCCATTTATGAAAACTGCCAAAAACTTGTGTCACCTTAATTTTCTTGATTTATTTATCTTCATACGGAAAATATCTTTGGCTTCGTCCTGCCCTTAGCTTTATAGAACAAATTACTTTTGTGTAAGTACATCTTCAGGGCTGTACTGCCGGAGCAACAATGCAGCATTGAATATAATTATACACTTTTTTTCTCTATCTCTCTCTTTTCCCTCTCAATCGGTCTAAAGTCATTACCATAACCACTTGGTCATCCTAAATGAGGAGGATCACAGATAATTATGGTGGGGTGAGGTGGGGGGGGGGGACGGCCGGTTAGGGAGGGCGAGGGGGGGGAGGGTGAGTGGAAAGGGAGGTGCAGGAGGACCTCGATACCTCCTTCCCTCCTCCTTCTGCCCTTCTCCCTCCATCTCCTCCTCCTTCCTCCTTCCTTCTCCCTCCTCCTTCTGCCCTTCTCCCTCCATCTCCTCCTTCCTTCTCCCTCCATCTCCTCCTCCTCCCTCCTCCTTCCTTCTCCCTCCTCCTCCTCCTGCCCTCCGACCTCGATCCCCGACAAGTGAAGCCTGCTAGCCATGGGTAAAACACTACTTTTCTCCTCCTTTGACCCTTCCTTGCGAGGCCTACGCTGCGCCTGCGAAACCGTATGTGTGTGGGGGTGTGTATGGGCATATACATATACACATACATACGTGTATGTATGTAGGTATGTATATATATGTATGTGTGTATATGTTATGTTTCGTAACGGGGTTGGAGTCGTATTTTAGAGGTAGTAATCAACACGACCATCGATGGCAGGTAGAGTATGGTGAGAATTAACTCACACACTCACACCCACTCACTCAAACACTCAAACACACACACACACACACACACACACACACACACACACACACACACACACACACACACACACACACACACACACACACACACACACACACACACACGCGGGTGTTAGCGAGCCGTGTCGTGTGCTAATCAATACTCGGGGGGAGGGGAGACGGTCCGACATCCCCCCCAACCCCCACCGCCATCGTTTTTACCAACCCATTAATAATTGAATATATGTACTCAAGCCCGCTCTAGCCGGCCTGCGTGAGCCTTAGGTAAGGTGGTGTGTGTGTGTGTGTGTGTGTGTGTGTGTGTGTGTGTGTGTGTGTGTGTGTGTGTGTGTGTGTGTGTGTGTGTGTGTGTGTGTGTGCGCGCGCGCGCGCATGCGCGTGGACATTTTGCATTAATGAACGAACCAACATAATGGCACACATGCGCTTGTACTGCGCCCAAGGCTCAGCAAAATACACCCTACTCTCGGATTTGAGTTGCGTTCCTGCCTCGCAAATCATCTGGAGATAATTGCGGCCTCAATCAATAAGTGAATGAACCAACACCGGCGCAATTAATACATACTACCACCCATTCATGCCCCGGCTGAATTTCATGAACAAATATGAACAAGAATCGGAGGAATGTCAATAGCGCAGCGTAAGAGGGGAGTCTCGAGCGGAGGAGAGTCGGTCTCGTCGCCGGGGTAAAGATCCCGAAGGAAGACCTACAGATTCGGCAGGGCGCTTGGGGCATCCCAGGAGAGAACCTGCCGGTGGTGTGGGCACTGAAGGGGGGTGGGGGCATGCCTGGGTGGTGTTGCACATGAGCGCCAAGTGCGAGGCCGGGGCAGGGAGAGGCACAGGCAGCGACGCGCAAGGAAGGGCAAGTCACGATTCGGGATTATAAACAATCATCTACGTTATTCTGCTGTTAACTACATTAGTGTTAGTTCTGAGCAACTGTATCACAAAGAGTAGTACAAAATTGAGAATTTCAATAGCGCACAACCAAAGTTGAAATATCACTCTGCTTAACACGTAAGGAGCCCTCCTTAAGTGATCACAGCCAATTGAAGAGTCGTCTAACTAATAGCCGTCATGGGTAAGGCAGAGCCATTGTACTTCGCCCTGTGTCGCTTCCAAGAGGAGAAGAACCTTCACGCGTAGCTGGCTTCACTTGCTCCAAATTATTACTAATTCTTTTCTTTACTTCGATGATTGACATGTGGCTACTCGGAGAAACTAAAACATGGCGAGAATCAGGAAGTGACCCGGAGGGCGGGCGGGCGGCGGTCGCGACGCAGCAGATCGCAGCCCGAGACTCGCCGCGCCCCTCGTCGCCCCAGGGATGCTGCGTCCAGGCAACGCGAGCACCAGACACAAGAATAAAAAAGAAAAAACAAAAGAAAGACAAGAATCAGCTGATCACCAATTACATTATATCCCGGACTTAAAGCACTGGTCTGCTGTCTCTATTTCGATACAGATATATTTTGGGACACATAATAACACACATATATGTAAATAAAAGAAACATTTTTTTCTCTCAAGAAAGAAAATAATTAAAATGTTTTTTTTTAAGAATACAATCAAATAACTTTTAAAATCAGATACGTCTGCTGATAGTCAAGAGGGAAGTGACTGATTCATAAAAAGGCGTCGGATGATATTACCAGATTTGACCAAAGGAAGTTTTAATGGGGGGAGGAAGTTGAAGTTTTGCGTTGCACACTTTTTTTCCGAGTGTGCACTTACTGATCACGACTAGAATCAATGAGTCATTCTACAGTAAAATCACCAGAGATCAAATAACATAGCTGGGCATCACAGCCTGACGACGCCAGGTCAAAGTTCTAAAGTCAAAAATTTCTTTTTCGTTCAAAAAAAAAACAATAACATATTACTCCAAATATATGCAGTATAACATGCCTATTATGAAGACAAATATTATGATCTGGCAGCGCCACTCGTGACCCCATTGGCACCTAATAAAGAAAATAATAAAATATAAAATAAAATAAAAAGAAAAACTCTGAATGGTGACATATTTAGACCCCGCCGTAGCCCGCTGGGGTTGTGCGTCGCCACGGGGACTCCGCCCACAGGAACCCGGGGCCGAAGACACCATGGAGAGGCTTCAGAAATTATGGACAATTTGAACTTGTAGGTAGCCCAGAGCAGTCAATATAGCCGTTACCAGCTTCCTCCTTATGCCAGACTCATCAATACATAATATTAAAGGTAAATACTGAAAGATTCAACGACACAACCGTTCGTGAGTTTTAAAATGTCTGAATAACAAAAAGATGAACAATCAAAAAAAGTATAGATACATATACATATACATACATATATATATATATATATATATATATATATATATATATATATATATATATATTTGTGCATATGTATGAATGTATGTATGTATGTATGTACATGTGTGTGTGTGTGTGTGTGTGTGTGTGTGTGTGTGTGTGTGTGTGTGTGTGTGTGTGTGTGTGTGTGTGTGTGTGTGTGTGTGTGTGTGTGTGTGTGTGTGTGTGTGTGTGTGTGTGTGTGTGTAATATTTGTCTGTATATGTATATATATATATATATGTATATGTATATATATGTATATATATGTATATATATGTATATATATATATATATATATATATATATATATATATATATATATATATATATATATATATAAAACTAAATAGAAGCACCTTTGTCCATAAGGGATATCAGCACTAAATTTTTTTATCATTTATAATCAAGCATAAAAATATTTGGCAAATTACTGCATAAAACTCTGGTACGGAACCTTATATATTGCCACTGTTACATCAATCAAAACTTAATTACTGTATTTATATGCAGGTACACTTCGTAACCTTAATCAAAGGGGGTTGCCGACATGTGCGCCCCAGGTGTGTGTGGCTGTAAAGCTGTCAGCCTGTGTTGTGTGTCTGAGGTGCGTGCCTCTGCCCTGAGGTGTGGGCCATGTGCTGTGTGCGGATGGCCTGGTGTGCGCGGCGTAGGTCGGCACCCTTGGGACACTGGGCGTGGCTGGCCCTCGGCACAGGTCAAGGGGCGCGAGCCACGCTTTGAGCAAAGTCTGGTTGTCCACAAATGCACTGGATTGCGATGTACTCTTATTGCCTGCATGGCGGCAAACTTTGAACACCTTCTTGCCTGCATGGCGGCAAAATTTTGAACACCGATTCCTTTGGAATGAAGTAACAATTGTCTATTCTACACTAAATGCTAAGAGCCAACCAAGACATTTATTATGGAGTCCAGGTCCTCATTGGCTTCCAGTCTCTTCGAGGCCTCGGGGAAAGACTTGAGCACATCGTCGGCACTGAGCGACGGCAGCTTCCACGGCGGGGCGTCGTCCGCTCGCCCGTAGTCCAGGTCGGCGCTGCTCTCGCCGCCCCAGTCGCCGTACTCGTTGTTGTTCATGGAGTCCAGGTCGGTCTGGGAGGAGAGGCTCAGCACCGAGCACCAGTTAATGGCGTCGGTGCGCTCCTCCGCGGGCAGTGGCGAAGATCTGATGGTAGGGGACGGAGGAGGGCCCTCGGCTTCCTCGGACTCCTCAGGCCCTGCGGAGGGGCCCTCGCCACTGCCGCTGTGGTGCGTGCTCGCAGGCAAAGGCTGATACGGCCGCAGGTGCGCCGTTTCCCTGCCGTCATAGGTGGTCTGGTGCTCGGCCGGGAGGTACTGCGCGCTCGGGTACTGCACGGTGGGCCCTGCAGTGCTGAAGTGAGACACTGGCGGCGGCGGCGGTGGCGGCGGCGTGACGGGTGTGGACGGAGGCAGTGAGACAGGCGCTGCCAGGGGGGATCCTACTAGCTGGCTGTGCATCGGGGGCAGAGGTCCTTCCGTGGGAGCGGGAGAGACAGGAGGTGAGGACGGCATTGGCTCGGGGCAAGGGGCAACAGCACTGGGCGCGGCGCCCTGAAGGTGCGGGTGGGCACCGTGGCTGTGAGAATGGGCCAGCAGCGAGGCGACGCTCACGCCCTCGGCCTCCAGCTCCCGCTCTATGTGCCGCAGGGTGTTGCAGATGAGCACTGAACGGTGGAGGTTCGGCTCCGGGAACTGCCGGAATCTGTTCAATTTGTACATGGACACGTTGAGCACTGAGAGACGCTGTTGGTGGTAGCAGGAAGGCTTCGCTGTTCCCCGCGTGGGGTCACAGTACGGGGACATGCACCGCTGGGGCCCGCGCGCAGGGGGTAGCGTGCCCCGTGCGCCTCCGTAGCCGCTGACGCCGTACCCATAGCCACAGCCGGCCTCGCCGTCGAAGCCGGCATAGCCGTCACCGGCCGGGTACACGTACGGGCTCGGGCTGTAGCTCTGCCTGGTGTTGTAGTAGGCGCCGGGCTGGCCGTACGTGCTGGAGCTCGTGTACGTCTGATTGTAGGTTTGCGACGGGTAGCTCGAGGGCGACGTCGTGTAGTTGCCGCACTCATTCGAGTACGTGTGGGTGTAGGGGGAGGCGCTGCCCAGCTCCAGGTACGACTTGCCGTTCTCGTCACACTGAATGGACTGGTTGGCGCCCCCGGCTTTGCTCGGCGAGATTTCCATGTACTTATTGGTATGAGGCTGAGAACCGTCGTAGAAATTGCAGCTGCCCCATGCCGGCGTCGAGGGTCGGGCCGGGTACGACTCCGGTGGGTATGGGTACGAGTGCGGGTCGTAGGCAGGAGAGGTGAGGGCGCCCTGATAGGCACTCGTCACGACCGTGCCCGTCTGAGCGGCAGTGACGGTGGTGACGCTGCCGTCACTCACCAGAGTGGCCGCCAGGCGTTCCTCGCCGCCGCCCGCGCCACTGCTACACACACTCGTGGTGGTGGTGGTGCTGCACGTGGTCTGGTTGGACACTAAGGAATCCGGGGATGTGGAGGGAGTGAAGATGGTGGTGGCGGCGGTGGTGGTGGGGGAGGCGGGAGAGGGAGAGGGTGAGGGTGAGGGTGAGGGTGAGGGTGAGGGTGAGGGCGAGGGTGAGGGCGAGGGCGAGGTGGGCGGGAGGAGGACGTGCGGAGATGAGAGGGCTGGGGAGGTGCTGCTTGTGACGGAATTGGTGGTGGTGGTGGTGGTCGTGGTGGTGGAGGAGGTGGAGGAGGAGGTGGAGGAGGAGGAGGTGGAGGAGGAGGAGGTGGAGGAGGAAGAGGAGGAGGATGGCAAGACTCTCGACAGGGAGAGCTGAAGAGATGAGGAGACGTGAGGGATGGATGTGGTGGTGGTGGTGGCGGCGGACGAGGCGGTGACGGTGGTGAGGCTGGAGGATGAGGGAGAGAGGGATGACAATGATGTCGACACTGGTAAGTCTGATATCACTCTACTTTCCACTTCATCATCAGAGGAATTGTCTATAGAATTACTATCAATGAACCCAGAGTCTTTGTCCTCCTCGTCATCAATAAAGTCTTCGTGCTCATCCATGGAGTCGTCCTCGGACTCGGTGAAGGCGACGTCGTCCTGAGTGTGCTGGAGGGCGGCCGCGGCTGTCGGGGCGGAGGACGACGACGAGGAGGAGTCCTGTTCCTCCTCGGGCAGTCGGGTGGACGCCTCCGAGGCGTCTGAAGAATCCACGGGCGTGGTGAGCTCGCACTCAATGGCGGGCGTAGAAGCGTGGGCGTGGGTGAGGGCGGGGTGGTGTAACACGTCCTCGGCACAGAGGGCGTGGGGCGGTGACGTGCAGATCACCTTGGTCGGTACTTCGTCAGCGTTGCCGTCACCTGACCACCGCCGCTTGCCGCTCGCTCGAGGAAGCCCCATTGTCAAGTGCCCCTGCAAGATGCAAGAAGGAAGTTAGGAATTGCCACACGTAATGCATACATGTATGTTAATTAATGAAAATACTTAAACTTAGCTTATTCAAATAGAACCATTTACTGCTAGCATAATCGTAAACATTATATAAATGAAAACTATTCCGACTCTGAAACACTAAAATGCAAAGATTGTGTATTAAGGTCTTTATCAAACAGATCACCGCTCGTTCAAGGAGATAATGACGTCACACTGAAAATTCATTCATGCTGTCTTTCCGTGAGCTTATAAATGAGTAAATGTACAGAGTACCCTCGCAATAATAGTAAAAAGGCAGCAATTTATATAATATACAAAAAGCGAGGTGAGCGCAGCGCTGCTCGCCCGAGAGGGAAGTAGGTAAAGAGGGCGGGCTGCCACCGCGTCCGTATGAGCGGCCGAGCCACGACTTCGACTTCGCTTCCATGTTCCAATTCACTGCGTTCACGTCTAGCCCTGCGTACCACTTTGCCATTCTACTGCGGCTCTCTTTCCTACCCTGCTACAGCCACATTACAAATCCCAAAATAAAAATAAAACTAAAAGAATGGAAACCAAGACATTAGCTGAAACACAAGCATTGGGACGCGTGGTGGGAGCGACTGGCGGCCGAGCTATCCTTGGTGGGCGCGGCGGCGGCGGCGGCGGCAGCGGCGGGTGGCGGGCTGGCGCAACTCGGCTCCGCACCCAGCTGCCTGCCACGACCGCCGACCAAGAACACTCACTATCATCTACATTCACAATAGTCTACGCTCACTATCGTCTACGTTCACTATCAACTCCCCATCCGCCACCGTATCGACGTTATTCATAAGAGTGATTCATCCTTAAACAACGAAGTGCTGACGAAACAACACGTCAACAAATAGCACACACCTTGCCCACACGAACCAACGAAGGGAAACTTACTAACGAATAAATCTCAAACTAATACAAAAGAACCATAAACCATACGAACAGCATGCATTACGAAAGCGGGAGGGAGGCGAGGGAAGGGCCTGCCTGAGCAAGTGCTTGATCAGGCAGCCCGCAAGCAGTCTCGGGCGGGGTGGGTGCGCAGTGGGCTGAGTAGTGAAACCAGCGTGCTTTCTCCTTAGACTTCAACGCCTCCGTCACTCGCTACGGGGGACTCGCTGGCGATCCGCGGTGGGTTTGGCCAGCGTTTAAAGGGAGGATTTCACGTAATGCGTGCGTGCGTGTTTGTATGTGCGTGGAAGGAGGAGGAGTTGCGTGTGTGTGTGTGTTTATGTGGGAGAGGGTTGTGTGCATGCGTCTGTGTGTGAGTGTGTGTCAGAGAGAGAGAGAGAGAGAGAGAGAGAGAGAGAGAGAGAGAGAGAGAGAGAGAGAGAGAGAGAGAGAGAGAGAGAGAGAGAGAGAGAGAGAGAGAGAGAGAGAGAACGCATAGATTATCTACAAAATAATCTATGTAACAGAAAGAGGTTCCTTTACTATTAAATCCCCGAAGTCAAAACACCGTCAAGGAAGCGCACAGAGGCCCGGGCGCACAGAACCAGAGCGCTAGATTTCTCTCTCGGTGTTCTGCAGGCAACGCCGTAGCTGGAGGGCCTCTCCTGCAGGACCCGAGGCATTAAATCTCTACCTCCGACGTCCCCGAGAGCTATCGAGGAACTTCACGCAGGTCCTGCTTTGCCCGGAAGAGGCTACTCGTCACACCACGATGACGGAGGCAGTTCGGAATCAAAATACGATGGTTGGATCAATCGATAAGTGCTTCGATCCCTTCGCACAATCTGATTTGGTGTCTCTGGACGCAAAGGACGCCGGGAAGAAAGAAAAAAAAATCTTGAGGTAGGGAAAAAGGAGGAAAAATCTGACGCAAGATGTGCTGTTCCTCTCACAGGCGAGGGTGGATATCCTAACTTGTGCTTATTCCTCGACTCGGTTCATCTGACCACGTTTGCTTTCATGAAGTCATCTGCTCATAGGCGGTTAGCGAATACATATTCTCTCTCTCTCTCTCTCTCTCTCTCTCTCTCTCTCTCTCTCTCTCACTCCTCTCTCACTCACTCTCACACACACACAAACTCACTCACATACACAAACTCACTCACACACACACACACACACACACACACACACACACACACACACACACACACACACACGCACGCACACACATACACGCGCTTCGAGAGAATCCGCCGCTCACTGCTGTCTGCGTCGGCCTTGGTCCTCCACTCTACCTGGGCTTCACACCTTCACAGAGTTGCCAACGAAACGTGGCTCTGTCTTGAGTCCCGTTACACACACGCACGTAAGTCATGTGCGAAAGAACTTACGAAATATGTAACATCGACTCGAAAACAAAAATCTAATCCTTCTGAGACACGTGCTGTTGTTTTTGTTGACCGTTGCAGCAGCTGGTAAAAATGGCATCTCGCTCCTACAAGGAACCTCTCTAACTGGGCTTCGTCAGCAGAGGTATGTGGGTGCGTGTGCGTGTGCGTGTCCGTGTGTGTATGTCTGTATGTATGTGTGTATGTGTGTATGTATGTATGTATGTGTGTGTGTGTGTGTGTGTGTGTGTGTGTGTCCTTCGCAATCATACTTTCTGTTTTCGCCGTTCGAAGAGGAATGTAACGTCTGGTCACTTATCCCGACGTCGTTTCAATAACTGGCCGTTCATAGACGTAACAACAATAATAATAATAAAAAAGAAACGTGAAGTAATCCCGACCGAGTGAGAAACGTCCCCGTCAACCTCATGGAGCTTTGTTGTTGTCACGTGATCCGGGAAGAGGAAGGAGGGAGGGGGGGGGGGGAGAGAAGGGCACTTCCAGCTCCTTGTGTGATGCCGCCAGCACGTACGCGAAGGAGAACAACAACAACAAAACGCAAAGAAGAGGGAAAGAACAACCGGAAAGGGCGATTCAGCGAAGGGGACAACTTTCCAAAACTGGAAAGCATCATCACTTCCTAAAGCATCATAAACTCCTTCGATCTCGACTAAACTAAAGCATACACACCCGCAATCGAATCTAGACAGACAGACAGACAGACACACACACACACACACACACACACATACAGACACACACGCACACATACACAGAGTCTAGGGGGATGTAAGCTAGGCAAGAGAAGGAAGAGCAGTTCCGTTTTCTATAAAGTATTGCGGAGCCTGAAGAAGAAGGAGCAAGAGTGTAATAGAAAAATGCGAGGCGAGGAAGAGGGAAAGTGAAAGAGGAAAGTGAGATTTTTTGGGAGACATGAAACGTAGACCAAAGTGAAAGGAAGAGGGGGGAAAAAATCAGACAAATCGTTAACAAATGTGTGCGAGAGAGAGAGAGAGAGAGAGAGAGAGAGAGAGAGAGAGAGAGAGAGAGAGAGAGAGAGAGAGAGAGAGAGAGAGAGAGAGAGAGAGAGAGAGGAAAAGAAAGTTAAAAAAAGAGAAAGAGCACGAGGGAACGAGAAAGAAAGAGAAAACGACAACGAGAGAAGAGAAGAGAAGAGAAGAGAAGCGAAGAGAAGAGAAAATATGAAGAAGTGCCGCGGCTCCCTCACCATCCCCTACATCTGGCTACCCTCCTCACAATTTTTCACAAGGGGAATTTTAGGGGTAACTCCTCTCTTCCACCGCCTCGTCTCCCCTTCCCTACGCTTCTTCTTTCCCTTTGTCCTTATTCCCTGCCCTCACTTCCCTCCCTCTATGTAATTAACAAATACAACGGTAATGCTCACTCCTTCCACGGGAGTTTCTAATGCCCAGTGTAACTGACAAAAAGTATTTTCGAATTCTTTTTATTGGCTCAACCGTGTTGTAAAAATAAATAAATAAATAAATAAATAAATAAACACACACACACACACAAACAATCATATATATATATATATATATATATATATATATATATATATATATATATATATATATATATATATATATATATAATATATGTGTGTGTAATATGTATATGTATGCAGGCAAACATGAACGTATATACACGTACGTAGGTATGTGTGATTGCAAGATGTATATCTATCTATACAATAATGCGTGTGGATAAAGGTAGATCGCCCGATAAATACACAAGCAAGATAACAAACAAACACACGCAGGCACACGCAGGCGCGCGGGCGCGCGCGCGCACGCACACACACACACACACACACACACACACACACACACACACACACACACACACACACACACACACACACACACACACACACACACGTACGTAAGCACATGAAAATGACCCAACGTATGCACACACAGATCACGTGTGGCTCGGCACGTTGTTGCCCCTCCAGCCTCGCAGGGGTAGTCGCCCCCCCCCGACGGCGCTGCTAAAGAAAATGGGATCAATTCGGCAGGGAAGTCTACTTAAAAAGAAAATTAAGGGCCGACGATAGATGGGCCTCCCTAATTGCACGTTACTTTAAATCCCTTCACATTGCGTTTTAGGATTTTAAGTGTGACTTCAGTGGGCCTGTGTGTAGAGTCAAGTTGGTGTTAAATATCAACTACGAGGTCGATAAACCTTGAGCAATGTTGTCTAAGTAGTGGCGCATTACCATGGCAACGAGGTAAATAGTGGTATTTTCTATTCGAGCTGGTCGCGGTGCCTTCGCCTCAGCGCGCCTGCGTCACTGAGCCTCGCCTCCCCCCTCTCTCCCTCTCCCCCAATCGCTCGCTCGCTCCCTCCCCCCCTCCCTCCCTCGCTCCGCTCTCTCTCCCTCTCTCTCTCTCTCTCCATCACGCGCTCTCTCCAGCTCTTTCGCTCTCGCTCGCTCGTTCTCGTTCTCGTTCTCGTTCTCGCTCGCTCGCTCTCTCTCGTATACACATGCACGTCACTCTGCCCGACGCGAGATTTAAGCCTTTTTTCGAGCGCTTGCCCCTATCTAAGTCTGCTGATGCTTTTGCCGTGACTTAATTTAAAAGACACTATTGTTGTTTTTCACTTAGGACACTCACATGAAGCTAACAATAAAATATAGATCTTCAAATTCGCTTT